AGACTTCTGGTTAGCAGTCAAATGCCTTAGGCACTATGCTACTAGAGCTCCTTCCATAAAGATTTGTTGTTGTTGTTGTTGTTATGTGCCATCAAGTCTGGCTGACTCATAGCGACCCCTCCTTGGGTTTCCAAGGTGATATGTCTACGGAAGTAGATTGCCCAACCTTCCTTCCCAGGAGTGGCTGGTGTATTTGAACCACCAGCCTTCTGGTTAGCAGTCAAGTGCCTTAGGCACTACGCTACCAGAGCACCCCCATAAAGACTACAGCCTTGGAAATCTTAGGGGGCAGTTCTACTCTTGCCCTGCTGGGTCATTATGAGTCTGAATCGATTTGATGGCAATGGGTTTGGTTTTGGGTTTTATGAAATTTGTCGGATTTCTTTTAAGAACACAAAAATAAGTTTATTTTAGGTCAATATATTATCACAAAGTGAATTCTCAAGATTTCTTTTTCTTTTTTATTGTGGTAAATATACAGGTAACAAAACATTTGTCACCTCAACAATTTTAAAGGCGCAATTCATTGACATTAAATATATTTATGATGTTGTTCAACCCTCATGGATGGACTTTCAGTAGCTAAAACCTGGGAATAACCCAAATATTAGAATTCTGGATGGCTGTTAGAGAATGGTCTGTGTGCACTGGCACAGAATGATGTCCGAGGTATAGTTAGTGTAAAACGCAATAGGCACCATAGTGCAATACCTTTATATGATTAACACAATATACACAAAAAGAAAACTGGGTGCTGAAACGGCATTGGATAGAATGGGAGAAAAATGCAGAAAAAAACTCAAAAACAAAAAAGATCAAGCTTACTGGTCTGATAGAGACTGATGAAACCCCCAAGACTTTAGCCCCTAGCACCCTTTGGGCCTGGAATTGAACTTACTCCCGTGGCTTCCAGCCACACAACAGACAGGTGTATAAGGTGAACATTTACACCAGGTAGGTACACTCCTTAGAACAATCAACCATGAAAGATCAGAAGGGCAGTATTTGCACAGGGAGATGGCTCAGAGGTCAGGAATATATAGGAAAAAAGGACACAGGGAAAAGGTAAGCACAGGGAGGAAGTGGGAAGAGAGCTGTTACATTACAGGAATTGGAATCAGTGTATGAAACAAAAAGTGTATGAACTGTTGTATGGAAAATTAACTTGCTCTGTAAACTTTCACCCAAATCACAATTTAAAAAATGGGGTGAGAAGGAGGCGTGGGGACAGCTTCTGATCTCCTCTAACTTCAGGGGGGAAAGGAAGATTCAGAACAGTATCAACAGCCCAAGGCTGGTTCCTATGAGACAGAGGTCAGACATCAGACATGCAGCTACCCTCCAACCCTTTTTGCCAGCCATCCCTCCCACAGCACTCTCTTCTTTGCTGGGTTCAATAATCTGTTGCATATGGCCAAACATAACTCAGAGACAATACTCACAATTATGAGGTTTATTATTCAGGATCAGAAACAAAGTCAGGATACAGTTCTTCGAACAGGACAGTTCTTCTCAGCCATGCCACAGGCACACTCTTTTCTGGTCTTAGCCTTTGCCCTGTTCAGGCAAGTGTTACAATGCTCTTTTAGTAGATAGGTACCCAGAGAGGTACCCCACTCCACCAGCAAGCTTCCTGCCTGAATGCATTCAGCTTTCTTGCTTCGTGGGCTGAGAAGCCCATGGCGCCATCTCACGCCGGTCTCATGGTTCTACTGCCTCTGCTGCTGCTGTCTCTCTGCTGTCTCAGCGCAGGCATCTCTGGTCCAAAGATGGGCTCCATACCTGGCTCTTTTTTCTTGCTGATAGTGAAATCCCCTGGGAGCTCTGGTAGCATAGTGCCTAAGGCACTTGACTACTAACCTGAAGGGTGGCGGTTCAAACCCACCAGCCACTCCTCAGAAGGAAGACTGGGCAATCTACTTCCATAGTGATACCTCTGGAAACCCAAGGAGGGGTTCCTATGAGTCAGGTCCAACTTGACAGCACATAACAACAACAGTGAGATGCCCCTTTTCACCTCTGGGATGGTTCATTTTAAGCCTAGTGAGATAGAAAAACTAACCAATTCCCACATTAGAGTTCCATACACCTTATTTCCATGGTCCCACACCCACAAGGGTGACTTGTACCTTATTTAAATTATTAGCAAGCTATCCATTCTGCTTGGTGGGCCCCAAACACCTTACATTTGCATAGTCTCACCCAGTCATCTGGTGGGAGCCACAAAGACCATGGCTAGAAGAGCCATATTAAGTGATTCACTGCACCACTCTGGAAAAATAATAGAATGGACAACAGTGATCATTTGGGGGTGAAGGGAGTTAGCAAAGACTCTAACTGCCTATATTATATATTTCTGTATCACAAACTTTAAAATAAACACTAACATTTGACCAGTTAGTACACGCCAGGCACTGTGCTAAAATAAAGTTTATGTGCAGGACTTCATGGCATAATATTAGGATAACTTTTTATCCTAATATTATCATCGTTATTTGGAGATGGGGAAATTGGCTCAGGGTTTTATATGAAAGATGCTAAGCAAATCTGGCTGAGCTTCATGGGAGGAAACGAGATCCTTGGTGCTTAAAAAATAAAAGCAAACCACTTATCAGGAGAAGTATCAACTGTTGAGGTTTGAGAGAACTCCATGAAGCTCATAAGGATGGTAGTGTTCAGTCAGATGGTCCACAGCTTTAATGACACACCTGTAGACCCAGGGATCTGTTGCCAGCTACAAAGGGAAGTTCAGTAAAAGTAATTCCATGAGGGGCCAGATTTCTACAGCTTGGGCATCAGAACTGGTGATCACGCTTGGACCATAGTTGAAACTGGGTATGTGGTCTAACTCTCCAGCAAACTCCTAGAATTTTGCAAACGTCAACCTATTAAAGGAGCTCTGGTTAAGGATTAAAGACTGACAGGGTGAATGATCAGGTATGTCTAGACAAAAGGGAATATACCCATGACCACATATAAGGCTGGCAGAAGATATTTCTATACAGGTATTTATTTATATGTGCTGTAAGAATGTCCATATAAGTAGAACTAATGGGGCAAAGTTGTGATAACTTCTTAGACAGTTCACCACCCTGAAGGGGTGGGTTGTTGGGTCTGTGGGCTCAGGATCATGGTGCAGGGAACATCAAGCTCTATTGGCATACTACACAAAAAGGTCTTCATCAAAGACAAATGAAGAAAACTAAAGATCCATGGAAACAATTAGCCCAAGGAACTAGTGTTGTTGTTGTTGTTATGTGCCACCAAGTCGGACCCAACTCACAGCAACCCCTCCTTGGGTTTCCGAGGCAGTATCACTACAGAAGTAGATTGCCCAACGTTCCTTCCGAGGAGTGGCTGGTGGGTTTGAACCGCCAGCCTTCTGGTTAGCAGTCAAGTGCCTTAGGCACTATGCTACCAGAGCTCCTAAGGGACTAGTAGACCATGCGAATGTCAGCCTATATGACCAGAAGAACTAGGTGGTGCCCAGCTACCACTGTCAACTACTCAGAAAGGGATTGGTACAGAAGATCTCAGATAGAGCCAGAGAACATGTGGAACAAAACTAAAAATCATTAAAAAGAAAAGAAAAGACCAGGTTTACTGGTCTAATAGAGCCTGGTGAGACCCCCAAGACTGTGGCTCCTAGTTTCCCTTCAGGTCTGGAATTGAACTCACGCCTGTGCCCTCCAGCCAAGCAACAGAGAGGCATGTAAGGTGAACATTTACAGCAGATAGATATACTCCTTAGAATGATGGATCATGGAAGAATAGAAGGGCAGTATCTGCTCAAGGAGATAGCTCTGGGGGCAGGAATGCACAGAAAAGAGACACAGGGAAAAGGTAACTACAAGGAGGAAGTGGGAAGAGAGCTGTTACATTGTAGGGAACTGCAGTCAATGTCATGAAACAAAATGTGAATAAATTGCTGTATGGAAAATGAATTTGCCCTGTAAACTTTCATCCAAATCACAATAAGAATAAAATAATAAAAAGAATTAAAGACTATTAGCAAGAATCAAAAAACAGGTAGTGACATTCATTTTTTCATATTCATTCATTCATAAATTTCCTGCACCTTCTAGATGGGCTGGCTTGGTTTTAGGTCCCTTTTACAGATGAAGAAACTCAGAGAACCTAAAGTTCCATCCATGATTAGAAAATATCAGAACCTGCCCTAAACCCCTTGAAACCTAGGTGTCAAATACCCCTTCTCCAACCACACCTAACACACTTCATTCAACAAGAGAGCTAGCGCCCTCTGAACCTCTCCGTGGGTGGTGGGCTGCAGGACCAGTGAAGGCTAGGTGTGTAAGCCTGCACACAGGACTAGGCTGCTGAAGAGCGGAGCTGAGCCCCGCTGGTCCCGGGCACACCTTCTCCAGTGACCCACTCCCACTCTCTTCCTGCCACCCCTCTGGACCCAGGACTGGAAGGTAAGGCTTCCATTACGCAGATGGGGGAAATACCCAAGCATAAAAAATGATCTCACAGCACACACTGGATTTCACTCATTTATTTACTTTTCATTACAAGCTGGGGACCACTGGCCCTGAGCTTGGGGAGGGGTTAGGGGTAAGGAACTCTGCCAGAGGGAGAGGAAGAAAGGCGAAGTTGGGGTTTATCGCAGGGCAGGCTTCAGGGGAGGAGAACAAGGTGGGGAGCAAGAGGGACTGAGGAAATAAAAGACCCTGACTTTCCAAGAGTGTCTGGCAGAAAGGAAAAGAACACCCAGAGATGCCCTTCATCCCCTCTCGCCATTCCCCCATCGTCCAACAACAACGTGAGAGAAATCTAGGAAGTGCAAGAAGGGGCGACAGCAGTGTCGGGGGCTGGGTAATAATAATAATAAAACCAGAAAGCTAGGTGGCAGGTGCACTCAGCTCCCAGCACAGGTGGAAAGGATTCTCTCCTCTCCCGCTGGCGGCGAGCAGCGCAGGGAAGGCGAGCTACGCGCGTGCTCATTCAGGCCGGCCGCCAGGCCCTCGGGCACCCTCAGCTCAGGCCTTTCCTCTTTTTCCGGCGGCCGCGTTCCACGCCTCCCCTGCCCCGGCTGCTGTCTCCGCCGCCTGAGCGGCCGTCGCCCGCCGAGTTGCTGCCGCTGCTGGCGTGCCGCCGCAGTACGCGCCTCTCGACGCGGTACTCGGGCTCGCCGACGCGCGGCGCAGCTTGCAGCAGGAACTCGCCACCGCGATAGGTGACGCGCACGTCAGTGCGCGGGTACGTGCCGTACACGCGCCGCAGTTCCCGGCGCACGGAGTCGGGCAGCTCGCGGCCCTGGCCAAGCGTGCGTTCTACGCGGCCCCAGCGTAGCTCGGCCTGCAGGCTGTCGCCGTCCGCCCACGGCGCCCAACTCTTGCCTGCGGCCGCGGCCGACTCCAGCACCTGCCCTGCGTAGCCGGTCGCTGGTAACGGCGGGCGCAGGGCTGCGGCGTAGGCCGGAGAGAAGGCCCACAGGGGCAGCGCGGCTGGCAGGGGCGCGCTTGGGCTGTAGAAGCAGTGGAACTCCCGCGGGGCCGCCCACTCACCAGTGCTGAGGCTCGGGGGCCGGCTGCAGAAGTTGTGGGCCTGGATGGGGGGCAGCAGAGGGGCGGGCATGTAGGTGTAGGTGAGGGGCTGCAGCGGAGGCCATAAGCCCTCCCAGGGCAGCAGGCAGCTGTAGGAGTACATGATCTGAACTTCAGGCGGAGGGCATTTTTGGTGGGGCCTCGTCCTGGTCTGGAGCTGTGGGAGTAGGCACAGACTTTGTTCTTACCACCACTACCATCAGTACCCATTTCTACAGCCTAGTAATCCAGGCCTCTGGTTCATATTAGGGGCCCACGCATACGCATACCTCATGGCTTTTTGGAACTCTTCCTAAATCAGGTGTTCAGTTCCCTGCCTTACCTCTTGTCCCAGGCGCAGCCTGAACCCCATGCTCCCAGAAGATAATAAGGATCTGAGGCCTGGCCAAGCCTCAAGCCTGACATGTTTTTTCCAGGTAATCCCCCACTTACATGTCTCCTTCAGACTGGGGAGCTGGTCTCCAACATTTGGGGGAGCCAGAGAGGTCCAAAGCTGGGCTTTTTTCTGCTAGCTTTTTAGTTGAGCTGCCCCCTTCATGCCCTGCCTCAGCCACACCTCCCTGTTACCAGGCAAAAGGAAACACCTTGAGCTGGCCAGGAGCCAGTCAGCCAGTGTGTGTCTGGATGAGCCTACAGGTCATACTGGCCCTAACCTAAAGGCTTAGGTCCCCAACATACACTTCCCAAAATCCCTTTCCAATCAAATTAGATCCAGTTCCCCACACCAGCTTCTTCAGATGGGTTGGATTACCCTAACGTTTGAGTAAAACCTCATGAGGCACTGAATCAGTTTGTTGATGAGCATCTAACTTGAATTTCACATCAACTGTAGGAAGAAAGTACCAATGTTATCTCTGCTTTGCATAGGAAATAGCTCTGGTGGTGCAATGAGTGATTACGTGTTTGACTGCTAACTAAAAGGTCAGCAGTTTGAACCCTCCAGCCACTCCCTGGAGAGAGATGAGGCAGTCTGCTTCCATGAAGATTTACAGCCTTGGAAATCCTTTGGGACAACTCTACTCTTCTATATGGTTGCTATGAGTTGAAACCAGGAAGCTGTGTGCCTCGGAATTGATACACAGTGGTGTTTGTTGGTACATGACCTTGATTTTAGCCAATGAGAACCATTTTGAACTTTTGACTCCAGAGTTGTAAAATAATAAGTGGGTATTGTTTTAAGCCACTATTTTGTGCTAATGTGTTACAACAGCAATAGGAAACTAATACATCTCTCCCATCCTATTTATAACCTTGCCCCACCCCTAAAACCTCAGCATCTGGGGAGTGTCTGAAAGCTACTGAACTGTTGACCACACCCCTACCTGGAGCTTAATGTTGGGCCACATGGGACTGACCAGTTTGTCCACCTGCTCCTGTTCCCAAGAGGAGTCTGGTCACACCTGGGTGGGGAATGGGGAGAGCTGAAAAATAAGCTTAAGTCAAAGCCTGGGAAGGTAAGGAGCCTGCGTTTTAATTTTTTCCCAATTTGGTTCCTGCATGCTTGCTGAGGACACCTACTGGTCTGGGGAGAAAGTTTTCAGGCAAAATGAGAAAAATAAGGACCAAGCAGTGAGTTCCTTGGTATTTGTTACCCTGCCACCAGTAAAGCCCCCAGTTTTTGTTTGGCTCCTACATCTTACCTACTGTCAGTAAAGGGTTCTGCAGAAGTTGGCGTCATTCCATCCTTCAGGTGTGCACATGATTTTAGGCCTAAACCAACCAGGACTGCCATCCACCCGGACATAGTAATTGGTTTAGAGTAGCCATGTGACCCAGTTTGGGCCAATGGGAGCCAAGCCCAAGACTTCATACTCTTTTGAGATGGAGGTATGGTCCAGTAAATTACTTGGTATGGGTCTTCTAGCCATGGTCTTTGTGACTGAGTGGAATTTTGCAAATATAAGGTGCTTTGTGGTCTACCAAGGGGATTGGATAGTTGATAGTAATATAAATAAGGTACATGGCACCTTTGTGGGGGTGGGACTTTGGAAATAAGCTATATGGAACCTAATGGGGGGATTGATCAGTTTTACCATTCTGCTAGGCTTAAAATGAGCCCTTCTGTAGTGATACTGCCTCGGAAACCCAAGGAGGGGTCACTATGAGTCGGGGCCGACTCGACGGCACATAACAACAACAAGAAGAGGCAGAAAGGGGGATCTCACTACCATCAATAATAGCAGCCAGGAGTGGAGTGTGTCCTTGGACCTGAGATCCCTACACTGAGATGACAGTGAGGTAGCAGAGAGATGTTGGCAGCAGTGGCAGCAGGACTGAGGGGCCTGCGTGAGACAGAGTAGTAGGATTGCCAGCCCATGGAGCGAGAAAGCTGAGTGCCTTTGGGCAGGAGGCTTGCTGGCAGAGTGGGGTACACCTATTGACAGAGCCTCAAGCAGGGCAGAGGCCAAGCCAATGGCCAAAGAGAGGCATACCTGCAGGCATGGCCGAGAAGAAGCTATCCTGATGGAAGACTTGTCTCCCGGGCGTTCCTCAACCTGAATTGTAACTTGTTGCTTCCCTAATAAATCCCATAATCATGAATATTGTCTGTGAGTCCTGTGTGGTCATTTCAAGAATTACTGAATCCAGCAGGGAAGTAGAGAGTGTTGCGGGAGGGACGGTTGCTGTCAGAATTGGCGAAAGGCATGGAAAGTGGCAGCATGTCTGACATCCACCTCATAGGAAACACCCCTGAGCTGTTGATGTTCTTGACCTTCTTTCTCTCTTGTTAGATGCTGCCGCCCCTATGCCCGTTATGCAGGAGGCAAGTGTTCTCTTTCTACAGATAGAGATCTGAAAAAATGCAGCCTGGGTTGTGAGGGGAAGGCCTGTCTAAGCATGGATGGAGCCACAGAATCAGTGGAGCCAAGGGGTAGAGAAAGAAATTGGGTCCTGATGACATCATTTGAGTCCTGGATTTTAAAGATGCATGTGGTACAGTGAATTGCTTTTATATGGCATTTCTAGCCATGGTCTTGTAACTACCTCCAAAAGTTTGGGTGGGACTATGCAAATAAGGTGTTTGTGGAGCACCAAGGGGATTGGACAGCTTGTTGCTGCTGCTGCAACTCAGGTGCATGGCACCCTTGTGGGGGTGTGTCTTAGGCTGGATTCTCTAGAGAGGTAAAACCACTGAAGCTTATATGTATGTATATATATAGACAGAGAAAAGAGAGAGAGAGAGAGATTTATCTCAAGGAAATCATTCACATGGTTGTAGAGGCTGGCAGATTACAAGTCTGTGGGTTAGACGTCAGGCTGGAGGCGTCTCCTGATTCGTGTAGCTGCGTAGACTGATGAACCCAAGATTGCAGGTCAGATGGTAAGCTGCTGGCTCATGGGCTGTGAAGACTAATGAATTCAAGATTGGCAGGTAAGATGACAGGCTGCTGGCTCATGTCCAAAGAACCAGAGGTCAGGTGATGATGAGCCAGGTGTAGGATCCAGATCAAGCAAAAAGCTAGAGAGCTTTGCTAGAACAAACATATATACTGGAAGCAGGCTGCACTCCTAAGGAAACTCCCTTTCAATGGATGAGCTGTTCATAGCAGATCTCATCATGGAGGTGATTACATCATATCAGATTTCCTTATGGAGGATAACTACATCATAACTGCCAAATCATTGCAAATCATGGCCCAGCCAAACTGACACACAACCTTAACTATCAGAGGGTGGGACTTTACGAATAATATGTTTGGAACCCTAATAAGGAAATCAGTCAGTTTTGCCATCCCACTAGGCTTAAAATGAGACATCCCAGAGGTAGACAGGAGCACCCAACTACCAGTAAGAAGAAAACATGGGAGCTGAGTACATCCTTTGGACCTGAGGTCCCTGTGCTCAGAACCTCTTAGACCCAGGAGACAGAGAGCTGTAACACTGGGAACAGTGAGAGATGCTGGGAAGTCCCAAGGGCAGCAGCAGAACCAGGAGACCTGCATGAAACAATACCCATGAGAAAGCTGGAGGCTTGTTGGCAGAGTGTGGTGTTAAATAAGTTTGTGACACTTGTCCTGAGCAGGGCAGAGGCTGGGCTTGGCCCTAAAGGCCTGATGGGCCAATGGCCAGGGAGAGGTCTGGCTATGGGCACAGATGAGAAGCTGTCCTGATGGAAGAACTGTATCTTGAGTCATTTCTTATCCTGAATTGTAACCTGTTTCTTCCCTAATAAACTCCATAGTCATGAGTATGCTCTTGTGAGTTCTGTGTAGCCATTATAATGAATTACTGAAGCCAATAGAGTAGAGAGTGCCATGGCAGGGATGGTTGGGGTCAGAAGTGATAAAAAGTTTGGATAGAGGAAGGAAGTCTGATCTGTGCATCATAGGAATTAGCCTGGGGCTTGTTGATCTTGATTCTCCTTTCCTCCTGTGAAGTTAGAAGAGGTCAGATGCCTCTGTCATGCCATTCTTCCAACATGCAAGTCAAGAAAATTCTTTTTCTTTTTTGCTTAAGTTAATTTGAGTGGTGTCTTTTATTGCTTGTATCAATGGACATACCCCTGAATATTTTCCCCTCAGCATTTTATTATTAAAATTTTTTAAATACAGCAACCTGAGTAGTTTTTGATCAGGAAGCCTTGCGATCAGATCCATATTTTAAGCTGCTCACTTGGAAGCAAAGTGGTGTGAGAGAGAGAGAGGCTGGAAGCCAGTCAGGGAGAAGGTCCTCACATTATGAAAACTAATTTCACATTTCCTCACAACAGGAAAACTGACAACCAAAACAGGAGCATGGGGTGGAAAAGAGAGATGGGGGTGGGATGCCTCTGGACTTGACCCCATATGACTGTCTGGATGGAGGAGTTAGGATAGAAGGTGCATGTGCATGTCCCTGGCTGGGTGGGAGATCAAGGTAATCATAGAGATAGAAAATGCTAGAGAATGAATGGGAGTTGGGAGAATGGTGAGTTCAGGATGTTCTGGGAGCGGTTCAGCAGGCAGTTTTTTTAAAATACATTTTATTGATATATAATTTATGTACAGTGGAATACACAAAACTAAAGTGACATGGGTTGATCCATATATATATGTATTTTTTTCTGCAGTGTTCCCTTCCATCCCCCCCACCCCGTAACCAACAAAGAAAGTTTCCTTCTGTTTATAAACGTTTCCTTGACTTTCTACAATAATGAACTAATACCATATTTGTCCTCTGTGATTGACTTATTTCACTCAGCATAATGTCCTCCAAGTTCATCCACGTTA